CGCACCCCTAGCAAGCCATATGTGGAGGTTTCCTCGCCAGCAAGGGATCTGGTATGCAGGTCAAAACACATGGCATTACTAGAATTTTTGTGATCTGGACTGCACTAATAGTGGAAGGAACGTAGGAATTATTACCTGTCATTATACAGTCCTTGATGAGCTTTGGCCTCATCCCGTATGGGAGGTACTTGATCTATGTCAGACAATTTTTTATAACTCTTTAGACGAGCGATCAACTTGTCACAAGGAGGAAGGATAAAAATTATAAAAATTTAGTTACATGACATTATAATAGCGTCTGACCCATGTAGCTTGCAGCTCGCCTTTAGGGGTGGTACATTTTTTGTTGCGTTTGAGTAGAATGACATACCTCTTGACCTGACTGTTCACCCATCTCGTTTGATGTATATAAGCTTGTGACCCCAAGGCACAGCATCAGAAGGTGGTCAAGAAGTCATAACGTCAACTTCGTGTAACCTGCTGTTCATATTTTCTGTACACCTTTGTTCTTGTCTTGAGTTTGAATAAAACTCTTCTTATTAGAAAATACGAACTGACTATCTTCTACAATTGGAATACCTAGTTATTTCAACTTATCCGCGAATCCTGAACAATCCCAAACGTATTACACAACATCCAAGGAAGCCGATTAACAACTTTACCTCAGGCACTTCCAAGAGTATTACAACTCTTTAGACGAGCGATCTACTTGTCACAAGGAGAAAGGATTAAAATTCTAAAAATTTAGTTACATGACATTATAATTAATTATAACTGTTACAATTAATTTATGCTAAGTTATTTTTATTATGGACGCTGATGAAATTGTAAAATAATTAATTTAATAAGTGTCTTCTTACTGCTCTGTATCATTAGAAAAATTGATAAGTTGAGACAGTTGATGGTGAAAAATTTTACATGCCTTGCAAAACTCTCTCTTGCTGAAGTTCAGATTCACGATCCAAAATTATTCTGAAACCTGGAAGAAATAGCATAATTCAATGTAAGATATATAAAACAGTAATGTTATCAGACATTTAGTCTGATCATGAAACACGATCATCTACTCTGCAGTTTGAAGATACATTACATGTATCTAAAAATAAGGTTTTCAGACAAATATTTGAATCCAAAAGGGATGAGTAGGCTTGAGGCAGGTAATTTATGTTACTGTTAGTATATAATGAACTTCAGAGTTTATAGAGGTTGTTTAATGGTTAGAATAGTTTGTGATGGGCTTTGCCAGGGAGATGAGTTCATTGCAGTTTTTGTTTTTAAACCTCTTTGAAAATGGCTGCTCGGGAAACCCAGAAGAGCATGGGAAGATATCTCTACTATAAAAATTTGTGATTTCGGCGTCGTCAATAAATTACGTCATCAACAATGTCAACTATAAACAAACTCGGCATTGTTGTGGAACAAAACAATGCCGAGTTTAGTGTCTTACTCAAGATTTTAAAAAGCAACCAACCCCTCCGAGGAGCTCCGAAAGGAGCGTTCTGCCATAGTATTGAAACAATTGCTGAAGTGCTGAATTGCTAAAATGGACAATTATTTGAAATTTGCTGTAATTTGTTACAAAATAATCCTGAATGTCCAACCTTTTGTATGTCAGAATCTCCAGTAGCAGCACTGTAACTGAACACATCAGCCCATAAACTAGCACCAGCAATGCGGGGTAGCAGTCAACTATGCCCACACTCACAAAGCTCGATCCCAGACCTTCACACTTAGGCTTCTTGTGATAGTAGCGTAAATTCTCACGCTCCTGCAGGCCTCGCTCATGAATGATTCGGTACCTGCAGGGTATCAAGCTAATGAAGTGAATGCAAGAATCAGTGATGTGCAAGTAATTTCGTTTTTGGTGCAAGAGGAAGCTAGTACATATAACAAGAGTCTGTATCTGAGCTATCAGCTAAAATATAATAAAAAAATTAACAAATGCAACAGCAGCACGTGAAACTTACGCGATGGACATTATTTCTTTGAATGGAGTCTGTTTGCTAACTGATATCCAGGGATCAACAAAATCCACAAAGCAGGTGATTGTCTGCAGACCACATTTCTCTTCCTCTAGGAATATGTCAGAAATGATCTTGTATCCCGGTCCGAGTTCATGGTGGAAAGCAAAGAGTCCCCTCCTAACCCTCTCCAGACCCTGGTGCAGGGACATGAAATTGCTGGGTTTCCCTGAAGGATTGATCTTTTGAGTGTATATAGCATGCCGCAGGGGGTCAGAGGCTGTCTGGAAACGAACAGAACTCATCAGGCGGTGAGTAAATGAGTTATACTAGCGAATTTCATACATACAAGTTTTTGACAATGTTTTCAGGACTTCACTTTTCCTACTGATGAAACATTACACTATGTGAATCACTGCATGAAAATGTGTCCAGAAAGATCATAGCCAACCATAGTGTCAATAACCAGATCCAATATCAGTTTTGAAGTTTTGTACGGAATGCATGATATACAAAAACAACACAGTTTTCTTACCGAAAAAAAGTGACGACTGTAGACTACATCCACAGCCCCTAGGGTCAGACCACTGTGATACAGGTCTTCAAGAGTCTGGATGGAGTCTGTAGTAGACTGGAGCAAAGCAACGATGCAGGCAGAGTAGGAAGTATACAAGAATATGACTACTATATATAGCATGATGGTGACGGTACGACCAGTGATTCCCTGAGCCTCAAGCGTCGACCCTGTGATGAAATATAAAGAACCATTGAGGAATGCAGCATATCAAGTAAGACACTTGGAACAATGCATAACGCGAAGGCAGTCACCTTGCTGGCATACAGCTCCTAGGGAGAGCAGAACAACATCAGTCCAGTTCATGGCCCCTTTTTCACGGTACTCCCATCTGAAGGCGCTGTACAGTAGGAAGGATATTACGGCAATAAGGGCCACACTAGCCAGCCACACTGCACGACTGAATGGCAGGGTGAAAATGTTCATCACGAAGGACAGGGGTGGAGGACGGAACAGAAAAGCACTCCTGGAAAGAAAACTGCGTGCTTATGACTGCAGTACCACATCAAACAGCAGGGCTGCATTCACAGCTTTTTTGTCAATCATTAGAATGGAAATGCTAAACAAATTTATTTAAAAGACTCATGACCAGAATACAGGCCAAATCATAATTACAACCAAGAAAGTTGGCGATTAAACCAATATTACTTTTTCTGGGCAGTTTTTTAATGTAGACATCCCACAGCTATACATTTCGCCGAAATCCATTTATTAGTTTAGGAGGCGAAATGCGTGGATGAGTTCCAATTTTTGTGTTCTCTGTACAATAAAGCACTTTCTGACCCAGTCTATAAACAGGTATCAGTTTATCACGCAAATTATATGACAGCCCCGGTGATTCTAGGTCTATTCTGGCATCGCACCTGGTGCGGGTAGTTGCAGCGATGAAGTTAACGACGGAGAGACGCTGCTTGAGCACGAACATGCCCGTCGATCCTATATCCGCTTCTTCCCGCTGCAGGAAACCTGTCAGACCCGTCCAAGAGCCGTTGGCAGAGTAGCCCCACGTGTTCGTGATGGCCATTTCCACGCTGTAATTGAACGTCAGAGCATCGCAGCCAAATGGTTACCACTTCTGCTTCGTATCGGTAGATAAGTGAATTAAATCTCGACTCGGAGACCGGTTATTCTAAGTTTTCTCCTGGTTTTCCTCAGTCCCTCCAGGTAAAAGCCACGATACCACCCAAAATTAGGTCACTTTTTACAGTGCATTATAGGACGCTATATAGTTAAATAAACTATGTATGTAGTGATACGCATGCATGGAGATATATATGTATGTAATAAATAATACAATGTCTTTCGGTCCGCTCCCTCCCGTCTCTCCCAAATAACGCGTTGTAGAAAATCTTTCTCTTGGAGGCACAACGTTGGAACAATCATTGGCTTCTACCAATTTGGAAAAATTAACAATTTTCACGTTACAAATATTCTCATTTCAAGCAATGGTCTGTCATAAAAAGAGTCTTTTATTTTCCGTTACTTTTAACGACTATTGGATATATTTTTGATTAATATTCATAATATTCTCATTTCAAACAATGGTCTGTCATAAAAAGAGTCTTTTATTTTCCGTTACTTTTAACGACTATTGGATATATTTTTCAATAATATTCATATTATGTAGACCAATTACTATTCAACACATAACTGCAGCTACTAATAGAGAGAAATAGATAGCAAATGAACGCCGATAGTTCTTTCCGTATCAATATCAAAACAATTCAAACGAATTACTTCGCATGTCTTTAAATTGTCTCGTATCGAAATATAGCCAAACTCGGTTACAACAGAGGGACAGAGGAAAAGAACTTGTTATAACCGTTATTCGTTCTTTTTCGGTTATTGAACCCATATGTTACTTTCGCTGTTACTCACTACTTTTATCACACACGCACACACAGACATACTTAATATAGGAAAGGGATATTTGCCCTGATACCTGAGAGCCCCAGTGGGCCTTCGGCACAACCGCCTCGCAGGGTCTGGGGAAATTTCCACTACACCACTGGAACGAGGACTACGAGGTGCGATCGGAAAGTTTCCTGACTGCGCCTATAAAAACCCGTACACTTATCTCAGGTATTAAATTCATCCATCACCCTTGAAGTAGTTACCCTGGCAGTGAACACAACGATCCCAGCGCCGCTGCCAAGCCTGGAAGCATCCCTGGAAATCTTTCTTTGTCAGCCTGTCAAGCACCAACTGCGATTCTGCCTGAATCTCTTCTATCGTCTAAAATCTCCTTCCCTTTAGCTGAATTTTCATCTTTGGGAAGAG